GGTGGAGGTTGCGGTGAGCCGAGATCGCGCCATTGCACTCCAGCCTGGGTAACAAGAGCGAAACTCCGTCTCAAAAAAAAAAAAAAGATTATGGAGCTATGTGTGTATCTTGGGTAAGTGGGTGAGGGAGGCAGATAAAGGACAGAAAAGTGTTTTTAAATAAATAAATAAATACTGATATCCCCAAGTGAGTGAAGGTAGATCTAAAGACTTGGAGCATTCGGGAAGAAGATGAAGGATGTTAATTGAAGGTGATGTGGTAAGGCATTGCTGGATGAGGGAATGAATTGTCTAGTCAGAGGCCAAAGTAAATTGTATTCAGGGGAATACAGCCATTCCCCCAAATACCATGCCATCCGTCACAAGGGTATGTGAGTACATGCCAGTGGCAGCTCTGCCTAAGAATTGAAGCAGAATAAGTGATTCCATGTGGTGAAGAACTTCTGAGCCAAATGGGCAGAGACTCTGCTTGCCTGAAGCGGAACTATCTGCCAGACTCTCCTAAAGTACTGGCTGGACACCCAGACTGGAAATGAGAAACTCAAGAATAATGAGAAAGACTGCGATGGGAGGATGGGGAGATAGAAAAGAAAATCACCACAGAGTCTGAAGCCTGACTAATTGCCTTTTGTCAGCACAATCCCCTTGCTCCCTCATCCTTGCTAAAGAATGAAAGTTTTTATAGGATGCCCAGTTTAGGAGCCAAAGCAGAGGCTCTCCAGGTAACACAGCCAAGAAAAAGGGTGTACTCCTCTATAACGTTAATAAATGCCGCCGGGCGCGGTGGCTCAAGCCTGTAATCCCAGCATTTTGGGAGGCCGAGGCGGGTAGGTCACGAGGTCAAGAGATCGAGACCATCCCGGTCAACATGGTGAAACCCTGTCTCTACTAAAAATATAAAAAATTAAAGCCGGTCGTGGTAGCTCAAGCCTGTAATCCCAGCACTTTGGGAGGCCGAGGCGGGTGGATCACGAGGTCAAGAGATCGAGACCATCCCGGTCAACATAGTGAAACCCCGTCTCTACTAAAAATACAAAAAATTAGCTGGGCATGGTGGCACGTGCCTGTAATCCCAGCTACTCAGGAGGCTGAGGCAGGAGAATTGCCTGAACCCAGGAGGCGGAGGTTGCGGTGAGCCGAGATCGCGCCATTGCACTCCAGCCTGGGTAACAAGAGCGAAACTCCGTCTCAAAAAAAAAAAACAAAAACAAACAAATAAAAATGAATGCCTATGGAAGCCTTCAGATTTAGTGTGACTACTAGGGGCTCCTCCTGTGCGCAGAGGCAAAAACCTTTCCTTGATCTTGACTTAGAGACTTCAAGTAGTAGGGCAGTAGCCAATAGCAGTTCCATCACACAGCCTGGTTAAATCCAGGGATTACACTGGAAAAATAACAATATTTCCTCATGAGTTTCGGATTCATCCATTTGCATCCCCAGTACCTGGCAGAGTTCCTGCCCTATAGTAGGAGTTCAAATTGTATGAAGAACAACGGGAAACTGATGATAAATCGTTAAGCACATACAGCATAATGGCTCTAAAAATCTGTTTTCATAGGTATTTTTGGGTTTACATTATCAGGATTTAATAGTGGGAAAAAAATGAAGCATGTTCTACTTAAGGAATGATGAACCAACAAATTTGAGATAGCAATCATTTTTAAGTACCCATTATATGTCAGCTGCAATGTCTCAGTTAATCCATATTGTAACCCCTGAGGAAACTGAAGGTCAGTGAGGTTAAGTCCGTTCCCCAAAAATTTAGCTGGTAAGTGACAAAGATCTCCAAAGCCTCTGTGTGCTCTTTTCACTAAACTTTCTTAAAAAAAGAAAATCTACAGAAAAGCCCTGTAACTTTTCTCTATATTGTTAAACTAGAAAATTAAAGGTAGAGTCACTTCCAGGTCAAGCAGGACCTGGCCAAGGAGATGAATTTTTTTTTTTTTTTTTTTTTTTTAAAAAGACAGTCTTGCTCTGTCGCCAGGTGCCAGGCTACAGTGCAATGACACGATCTCGGCTCACTGCAACCTATGCCTCCCAGGTTCAAGCAATTCTCCTGCCTTAGCCTCCCGAGTACCTGGGACTACAGGCGAGTGCCACCAAGCCCAGCTAATTTTTGTATTTTTAGTAGAGAGGGGGTTTCACCATGTTGGCCAGGATGGTTTCGATCTCTTGACCTCGTGATCCGTCCGCCTCGGCCTCCCAAAGTGTTGGGATTACAGGCGTTGGCCACCGCGCCCGGCCAGGAGGGATGTCTTATAAATTCCAGGTTTAAATTCTGTATTCCATACTCTTCACTCTATCTTCCTTATTACTTATACTATAAATCTGTAACTCAAACTCAGACAGGAAACTACACTGGTTAAACCAAAACGAGAAAGAAAACCCTCACATCCCTCTTTCCAGAAATTAGACATCTTTAAGACGAAGATTTCTAACCCAAATAGAGTTTCCAACCTGGCGCATTTCCACAGAAGTTAACATTGAAAGAGCCAAGGCCCGGGATTTATCCTCAGTTCCTGGGCAAGGGCCAGGAAAACAGAGTCAGACAGCAAGGCCGGAGTTGTGAGTCTCCATACTAAAAAAGATACCAAAGTGAGGTACTAAGCCACAGGAAGCTGCTGTGGGATCAATGGTACAGGTCCGGATTTAAATGCACAATTATTATGAGTGACTTGCAAAGGCACTACTGAGTTCCCCAGTAAATCTGAAGTTGCCCTGAAATTTCAGAGTGAAGTAAGTAAAGAATTTAAAAGTCAAGGTTAAGGAGCTGAAGCAAATTAACAGGGGAGTCCAAGAACTGCAGAGATCACAGAGGAAAGATGGAGAGGGTGTGGACGAGAAACTGGATCTGAAATAAAAGACAGGACCCCACACAATGGGGACTGGTTCTCAAAGGCAGAGAGATGTTAAGGTATGAAGCTGGAGGAGGAATTCCATTTCTAAAGGAGAAACGCTCAGGAAGAGAAGCGGATTGTGTCTGAAAAAGGGTTCCTGGAGAGTATCTTCATAACTCAGTACCGGGAGGAGGCGGGAGGTTAACGCGTGTCTGAGTGTGCGCGTCTGTGCGTGCGCGCAGCCCAGAAGGAAACTCCCCGAAAGGAAATGCATGGGAGGGCTCCCCGCCAGGAAAGGCGATCCGGAGGACTGCGGGAGGGTGTCGCGCAGGAGGCCGGACTCGCAGACTCACCTCGGCCATAGCCCTGCGTGTGCTTGGCGAAGCTCCTCACCACGGCCTCCACGGCCTCTCGCAGCACCGCCGGGCTCCCGGCAGCGCCGGGGGGCAGGGGCAGTCCCGGGGCCGCAGACAGGAGCAGCGGCGGCGGGGGCGGTGCGGGCGGCGGCGGGGCAGGCGGGGGGCCCGCAGGGGGTGTGGCGGCGGCGGCCGCGGCCCCCGTCACGCCGGGCCGCAGCGCTCGGAGAGTGCCCCTCCCGCTGGTGCCCACCCCAGGCTGCAGCCTCTGCGCTCGCATCGTCTCCATCCCGGCCGCCAGCGGAGTAGCGCCCCGGAGCCTGCCAGCCCGGCGAGCTAACGGTCCCAACCACCCTAGTCAGCTCGCGCCTGGGGACTGAGGGCGGCGCCGGGGCCGAGCCGTCAGTCAAGTGGGGGCGGGAACGAGCCGGGTCCCATGCCAATCACCAGTGACGGGGCGGGAGCCGGAGGGCTCCTGCTCCGCCATAGGCAAATTATTGCGGAGGGTGGAGCTTCTGAGAACCAATTGCAAAGAGAAAAAGCGTCTGCTCTGAAAGGCAGACGCAGAGCTTGGGCGCGTCTTCGGGAGTCCTGCGGCGCGCACTAGAACGGGGGCTAGAACCCTGGGGCGGGGCTTGAAGAAAACAAATGGGCCTGGATGTAAGACTGGGGAGAATTACAGAGCAGAGATCGTTTTGTTCTACCATTTCATTTTATAAATTGTAGGGGAGGTAGCTGTGGCTCAGAGAAGTAATTTGACTTGTCCAACATCACATGCAATCGGTGGCGGAGCTAAGGCAAGAAAGATACTGACGTCTAATGAACATAAACTATGCAGTGTACTGTAGTGCATGTCTTATTTACAATCACAATCAGTAACTGGACTTTATTATTTTGGAGGTAAGGAAACAGAGGCTTAGGGGAGGCTAGATGCCCAAAATTAAATAAATGGAATTCAGAGTTTAGACATAGGTGTTCTGATTCCCAATATATTTGTCTTTTTACTATGCCACATTGTTGGGTAATTTTCTGATTTCACTTATTCTAAGTAGGAGAGGGGAATAAGACAGTAGGATGGGCAAGTCTCTTTGTCTTCCATTAGAGTGAGAAAGAGTTAGGATACACGCAGAAAACTAGAAAACTAAGACGTCCAGGTGGGGGAATTAAGAAAATTACCCTTGTTCGTATAACATATCAGGCTGGGTTCCTCTGATTAGCTTGCACACACACACACACACACACACACACTTGCACACATGCACACACTCTACATAACCTTTATCATGTGGTCACTGTACCATTTTTACTCAAGTGAGGTTATATTAACTGCCTTCCCCCCATCGTCTCTCCTACAATGGCTCAGAAATCAAAGATGGGGAAATAAAGGCCAGAAGTAGAAGAAAAACAGAAGAAACACACTTGGTGATGCTTGGTGGAATGAAAATTAGACCCTGAATAAAAACTGCGAGTGGTCAAGAAATAGCAAGCTCGGAAAAGAGACAGTTAATCTACCAGGATATATCTGCTGATGATGGAGGGAGAAACTTTGCAGGAACCTTAAAGATTTCAATGTTGAACACAGAGGAAACTGGAGGAAATGAAATCTTGTCGAATGCCTTAAAACCTTTAGGACACGGGACACTTGCCTTTTCTCTATAGCCACAGTTTGTCAGTTGGTTTCTTGGAAAGAAGGTGGCTGGAATGGCTAAGTATCCCCTGGATCATTACAGCTATAAGTTAGTATTACCCTCCCACCCCATTCCTCATTCCCCATACCCACACCTCCAGGCAGAAGTGACAAAACAGAGACTCTGAACACATTTATTTGATATGTCAAGTGGAGAGAGGAGTGATTTAGGGTTTCTCCCCACTTCTACCTGTGGGGGTGTTCATAAGCTCAGACAGACAGAAGAGCAGCTTAGAGCCCATGACCCACTCCCTGGGAAAATGAGACAATCTGTTGTAGTTGGAGGAACAGGGTGGGAATAAAAAGCAGGAAGTTGAGAAGTGAAGTTGAGAGCAGGAAAGACAGCAGCGGAACTGAGGCTGGGGGTTGCTGCAGGAACCCCCAAGAAGAGTGAAAAAGATATCCTGAAAAGTGGTTGGGGCTGGAAGCAGGGTGTGACTAAGGAGCCAGGCCTGGAGAAAGAAGCGAGACCTGCAGAATGGGCTAGGATGTTCACGGAGAGAATAGAGTGTGCAAAATCAGGATAGGCTGTGTTGCAGGGCATACGTGGAAAGCAAGGGACTGCTTCTGCAGGAGGGCAAAGACATCGGAGACTGCCCATAAGTAGGGGTTCCCTACTGCTTCTGAACAAATGCAAGAGAGTTTGGGACCCTAGCCCTGTGTGTTTATTGGTGTGCTGTGCCTGTGGGTACACAAGTAATCCCATATGCATGTGAAATGACCAGGGCATGAATACATGTGTCTATATACCCAGTAAGTAGAGTACTTATTCTTTCTCACTAATAAGAGTACTGTGCTTATGGACACATGCTTAACCATGTATGGGTGCCCCGTTCACCCATGAGCACATGCAAGGGATCCCTGTTTTCCTGGTGTGTGTGTGTGAGCGGTTCTCCCACCTACCCCATTAAGGTCCTGGTCCCCACCCTCCTTGGCTCCTCTCACCCCTCTCTCAGCGCCCTGGCTCCCCAGGCCCACCTAGACTCTGGAAGCCCCCTAGCAGGCGGAGCTGCTCAGTCTGCATGGAGTGGCGTCTCACCAATTTGCGCTTGGTCCTGGGAGAGCCTGGCGCCCCGGCATAAGGAGGGGCAGGCAGCGAAGGCGCCCGACCTCCGGGTTGAGGGCGAATGTCGGGGATGGGAGGGTGGGGACTGACGTTGAGAGGGGGCAGGAAACCCGGCCGCGTTTGCGAGATGTGGTCCAGGAGCAACGTCCCCGACCCCCTCCGCTCCAGCAGGCCCGGACTCCGCCTTCGTCCGCTTAGCGGAGATACCGCCCCTGGCAGACTTTCTTGGGACTGGCGCGGAGAGGGAGCCGAGCCGGCCAGAGGGAGGGTCAACGGGGAGGCGCTGTATCGGCGGCGCTCCAGGGACAAGCGGCTGGATTCCGGCGAGTCAGGGCAAAGATGTCCGGGGGTGTCGAGCTCCACTGGCTCCATGCGGCTCAGTTTCTGCCTCAGCCCTGAAGGAGGGCCAGACTCCTGAGCTTCTGGTGCTGTGTTTCGGCGCGAGAGAGGACCCCCGCAAGTCACTTTCTCCGCCCATGGGGGCGGGTCCTCAGGGCCTTCCGTGCTGTGACGTCGGGAAAGACGGGGTCGACCCGTCAGGGTCAGGCCGTTGAAGTCGGCAGTCAAGCGCTCGATCCCGGGTCTCCCTTCGGTGGGTGGGACTGGTTGAGCAGGGGCCACTAGGCCCCAGGGCTCGGAGTTGAGCCTTTTGAGTGGTTTTGGGGGATGGCGTGGTGGTTTGGGGAGCGGCTCGGAAGGGGAGGGGTCATCCGGGGGCTTAGGCAGAGGGAATTCAAATACGTCCCGCTTCTCCTCTTCTTCCTGGGCGCGAGGGGATAGCATCCCTCGCCCTCCTCCTCCTGCGGTCTGCAGCTGGATTTCCGAAGGCGACGTGCAGACCCCCGGGCTAGGAGGAGCGGGAGCAGGATCCTCCACCCCTGGGGATGGTGGAGAATTAAGATACTGCCGGGTCTTCTTGGTGCCCGAGGGCGAGGTATCGGTGGTGATGATGATGACCTCCGTGCCCTTGGCCTTGCAGGCGTCCAGCAGCGTGGCAAGGGTCTCGCGGTCTCCGCGGTCCAGGGCGTGGACGAGAGCCGAGGCGCCCGCGTGATCTCGGACGGAGGGGTCCGCGCCGTGGGCAAGAAGCAGCGAGGCCACGGCGGCGCCCCCACCCCCGGCGCAAGCGTGCATGAGCGCCGTGCGCCCCAGGCGGTCTGCGATGTTGGGGTCCGCGCCTTGCTCCAGGAGGTAGCGTACCATGCGTGCCTTGTTCTGGGGGTCGTCGTAGCGGGCCCGACAGGCTGCCATTAGCGCAGTCTCCCCCTGCGCATCACCCTCATTCACGTAGGCGCCTCCCTCCAGAAGCAAACGGGCCAAGCGTAGCTTACCCTGACCCACCGCCCGAAGAAGAGCGTGGCCCTCAGTGTGCAACATAGCTGCGGCTGGGGCGAGGGCACAGGTGGAGCCGCGACTGAGAACTGCCGAGGATGGCTAGGGGTGTGTGTGGGGGGGTGGATGGCAGAGGCCTGAGGTCTCAGTGACGAAGCCGATCCCTGCAAGAGAGAGATCTTATTGATAGATTTGGCAGGGAAATTGAGGTACCGACGCAGGGACCCAGCGTGGGGTGAGGGAGACCTTAACGGCATATAGTCCTTCCTCTAACTCACGCCTTTGAGCTGGCCCTTCCCCCGCAGCGCATGCCTGAGGAGGTGGGAAGGGTGCACCCGCACTGAAGGGACTAGCGCGCGTGCAAATGCGTTCGTGCACGCGCAGGGATGTCCGCACCCCCACCCTCACCCCATGGCTTATCAGACCTTTCCTCTATCCCCCTTTTCTTATCCACACTTGGGAGCCTCCTTTCTAGGATGCTGAACACCACCCACCCACACACATGGACCCTACAGTCACACACGTATTCTCATTCCTAACCTCTTTTAGCTTGCCACAGCCCCAAAAATTGAATGGGGGGAGGGAAGCATCCTGCGTTTGGGACCTAAAACGGGTGGAGGGAGAATTGGGGGGATTCTTTTGCCCCGGTGTTGTTCCCCATCACTCCTTGCTCTTTCCCCTCCCAGCCTGTGCGCCCAGATAGATACCTGAATGTCCGCAGAATCTCCGCCTGGCCAGGATTGGGGCCGTGGCCACGGGGCAGCCGAGGTGGCAGAGCCAGGTTCCCGGGGGCCCGCATGGCGTGGGGGGGGGGCACCCGGATTCCCTTGGTGTCAGTATCTGCGCCCCGGCGCCGGATCCTGGTCCCTCCTCCCGGAGCGCCCCGGGCACAGCGCCGGCTCGGGAGGAGAGAAGCTGGGGGGGGGGGGGGGGGGGCGGAGCTCTGCTGTACTATTTATAGCCTAGTCTCTGCGGGTGGGGGCGTCGGGCACCAAACTGCTCCCCCACTCATGCACACAGAAACCCTCAAAAAACCTAGAGGCTCCAATCCTGACTTTCCTTTCTTAGCCGACCTCCCCTCAGCCCCAACAAACCTAAGTGTTCCTTAGGGGACTCTGCGACCCAGACAGGGACCATCATGAAGATTCTTCGCTGAGCTTCAGCAGATCCCCATTCTCCGAACTTGGTGTGTTTATGCGCTCCTGTGCGCCAGACCTGACCTGCCACACACACACACGGCACATGGCACACGGCACACTGTGCAGAAGGCCGTAGAGAGGCTTTTTGGATCCACACCCGGTGTCCATACTGTGCAAAGAGAGGCAAGAGATGTGGCTGTCTTCCTGGAGTTTAATTGTGAAAGAAAGCACGGTCCAGCCGGGAGTCAGACACAGATACAACCCCGCCCCATCTCTCAAAAACGGAACAACCATCACAGAGAAATTTGGACCTCAGCTCCCTTATATAGACCTTTTAGATAACTATGAGGAAGGTGGATGGGGCGGGGGTCACTTTTAGATAGGGCAAGGGACATTCCCAGGTGCCTCCACCCGTATTATTGTGGGAAGGGAGATAGGAAACGGGCAGGAAGAAGAGCGAACCTTGCAATGCAGTCTCTCATTGCATCTCTTTAACCTCAGTCTTGCTTAGACGTATTATTTTTTTCATCTTGCTTGAAGGTCTCTCTCTGAAACTCTCCTTCCATCTTCTGTCTTCCTGTCTGTCTATTGGTCTCTCACACTCTCTCTGCTTCTCCTTGCCACCTGCCCTGTCTCCATGGTTACCATAGCTTCCATCTACATATTTTGGTACTGTTTGTGTCCAGCTGGAAGGCACCAAGGGAAGTGGGAGAAGAAAAATGATAAGGATTTAGAAAGTTCACTCAGGGTCCTGAGCTAATTCAGAGGCTGGAGACCCCCCAGATGCAAGATACAGAAAATAATTTTCCCAGGGATGGTAGAGAGAGAAATATTTGCAGGAAGCTACTCATTTTTTTTTTTTTTTTTTTAAGATGGCGTTCCGCCATGACGGCCAGGCTGGACTTGAACTCCTAACGTCAGGTGATCCACCCACCTTGGCCTCCCAAAGTGCTAGAATTACAGGCGTGCGCCACCGTGCCGGTCCTGAAGCTACCCATTTTTACTAGTTAGTTCTTGGACACGTGTCAACTACATGCCATGTGCTTTACATACACTATCTTCAATCCTCACAACTCTCTAAGATAGGAATTATCATCTTGTTACAGATCAGGAAACAGACTTAATAAGGTTAAGCAAGTTCTCCCAAGCTTCACAGCTAAGTTTGTGTCCTATGGCACCGACAGGGCACTTGCCACTACACCTATGGCCACCCAGTCTACATGCCGTTTTCTGTAACATCTGGGATGTTCTTCTTGACCAAGTCCTAGATTTCATCTCCATTCTGAAGTCTTTCCCCCGTTTATGTTTTTTTTGTGCGTGTGAAAATAGGACTCCTCTTTCCACTCTGCCCCGTTTCCCAAGGGGCTTGCAGGAGGTGGAAGGTAGTGGAAAATGCAGAAAAAGGCTGGGCACGATGGCTCGCGCCTGTAATCCTTGCATTTTGGGAGGCCGAGGTGGGAGGATCATGAGGTCAGGAGTTCGAGACCAGCCTGGCCAGGATGGTGAAACCCCACCTCTATATGTAAAAATTCTTTTTTTTTTTTTTTTTTTTTTGAGACGGAGTTTCGCTCTCGTTACCCAGGCTGGAGTGCAATGGCGCAATCTCGGCTCACCGCAACCTCCGCCTCCTGGGCTCAGGCAATTCTCCTGCCTCAGCCTCCTAAGTAGCTGGGATTACAGGCACGCGCCACCACGCCCAGCTAGTTTTTTGTATTTTTAGTAGAGACGGGGTTTCACTATGTTGACCAGGATGGTCTCGATCTCTCGACCTTGTGATCCACCCGCCTCGGCCTCCCAAAGTGCTGGGATTACAGGCTGAGCCACCGCGCCCGGCCGTAAAAATTCTTTAATAAATTTTTTTTTTTTAATGCAGAAAAAGCTGGGCTCTTGCCCTGTCTCTCCTAGTACTCTGATCCCAGATTCTTCCTTCCTCAAACTCTCTGCCCACCTTCGCACAGACACGGCAGCAACCCACAGAAAAAAACATTTTTAGAAAAGAAGTATCCATTGGTGGTGCTGGAGAGAGGCAGTGTAGGATTGAAAGGAAGGCTGGAGTGATGGAGGAGACCAAGCTGTGAAGCCAGAGCCACACAAAGGCCGATCCCTAAAGAGCCGCTTTCCCAGGGGTTGATTTCTCCGTAGGCCCACTTCTCTTATGGCCTTTCTGTGGGGGCTCCCTCAACACAGTCCCTCGATGAGATAGGAGTGGCACGTTCCCTCGGAGAACTCTCGCCGGCCCCGGGCTCCTTCATCCGGAGTGAGGCCGGAAATAAGTGACCGCAGGTGATTCTGCAACGCCAACTCCCTCCGCGACCTGCCGCTTCGCCGGCTTCGGTTCCGGCGGACTCGCTCCCTCCCTCCTTCCCTCCGGAGGCTTCAAGAGGGCGGACCTCCCTCCTCGGCTTCTCCGGCATTGGCCGAGAGGACTGACCAATGGGGAGCTCCGGGAGGCGGGCCTAAAACGCCGCCGCCTGGAGGAAGCCCAGGACCTTTCAAGTTGGCGGCGGCCTGGGCTCCGCGCGGGGCAGGGGCGGCAGGTAAGGCTCGGACCCGGTGGCTCGGACCTGGTTCGGTCCCACGCTTCCCGAGCTTGTTCATCCCGGCCAGGCTGCGAAAGAGACAACGCTTTCCGGCGGGTCGTTGGATCAGCCCCCTTCTGATCCCTCCTCTCTCTCTCCTGGGCTCCCATGGCTGTGTTGACTGTAGACTAGAGAATGGTAGTTTTCTGTCGCGCGTGGGGAGAGAGATTGCAGCAGAAAACGAGACAGCCTTTTGTACCTCTCTTTGGTGTAGCATCAGTTCCCCCGAATCCATTAATATTATCCCAAGAGCCTGACAGACTCCTGTCATCTGTGAAGACTAGCGGAAATACTGCCTTCCACCTGTAGTTTTCCTGGGCCGCCTTTCTTGCAAAATAAATTGTTCCCCCGTCTGACGATAGCGTTCTGTGCATACCTTTATTAGAACACTTGCCCTCTCTCCCTTTAATGTTTCCATGCTTTTTAGAATAGAAGGTTTCGTAGCACAGGTCCTAGTGGTTAATACCTAGCGCCCAATAAACGTTACTTCAATAGAGCTGGTTTCTGACAACTAGCACTCTTTTTGGGGAGGCAGAATTTAAACTCCTAACATAACTAGGGAACAATAAAAGACAATACAGTATGTAATTAGGAGCCATTAAATTAGTGGTTCATAATATTAGGGGTTCATAATTGTTTCTGCAATCCAGAGAAGGAAGAAACCAAGGAGAACTGGAATGGTGAGGGGAGACTATGGATCAGAAGGTCTCAAGTTCAGAAGGGCCCATAGAAGTCATGTATTTATTCATTCATGCAACAAATATTTACTGAGCAACTACTATATGCCAGACACAATGCCAAACCATGGTGATCATAGGGAAATCCTCTACTAGAGCCAGGCATCCTTCTTCGACAAACTATTTAGTAAGTTATTACTCAGCTTCTATGTAAACATCTTTAGTGAGGGAACTCCCTTACCTCTCTTGTAGGTCATTCCATTTTTAAATACCTGTTCTTTAGTCAATATTCAACAAATATTACAAATAAATATAGAGCTCAAGGAAGTGGATTTCACACTTCCACTGTAAAAGAGGAATATCTGGTGGGCGCGCTGGCTCACGCCTGTAATCCCAGCATTTTGGGAAGCTGAGGCAGCCGGATTACCTGAGGTCGGGAGTTTGAGACCAGTCTGACCAACATGGAGAAACCCTGTTTCTACTAAAAATACAAAAATTAGCCAGGCCTGGTGGCACATGCCTGTAATCACAGCTACTGGGGAGGCTGAAGCAGGAGAAGAATTGCTTGAACCAGGGAGGTAGAGGTTGTGATTAGCCGAGATCTGCCATTGCACTCCACCCTGGTCAACAAGAGCGAAACTCCAACTCAAAAAAAAAAAAAAAAAAAAAAAAAGAGAGAGAGAGAGAAATCTGTCCCTCTTCTACAGTGGAAGTGGTAGCATTCTTAAAAGCAAGTCATTTCTGATTGGGCATGGTGGCTCATGCCGGTAATTCCAGCACTTCGGGAGGCTGAAGTGGGCAGATCACTTTAGCCCAGGCATTCAAGACCAGCCTGGGCAACATGGCAAAACCCTGTATTTACAAAAACTACAAAAACATGGCCAGGCATGGTGGCATAAACCTGTAGTTCTAGCTGCTCAGGAGGCTGAGGTGGGAGGGTTGCTTGAGCTGGGGAAGTTGAGGCTGCAGTAAGCCAAGATTGTGCCACTGCACTCTAGCCTAAGCAACAGAACAAGAACCTGTATACAAAAAAAAAAAAAAAAATTACGAGCTGCCACCATGAATGTGACAGGTGTCCACTAAACTGACTCGCCCTTAGTATCCCACCATAGGAAGTGAATTTAGATGCCTGAACATATTCCCCTTTTAGGCCCGGCGCGGTGGCTCAAGCCTGTAATCCCAGCACTTTGGGAGGCGGAGGCGGGTGGATCACGAGGTCAAGAGATCGAGACCATCCTGGCCAACATGGTGAAACCTCGTCTCTACTAAAAATACAAAACATTAGCTGGGCATGGTGGCACATGCCTGTAATACCAGCTACTCAGGAGGCTGAGGCAGGAGAATTGCCTGAACCCAGGAGGCGGAGGTTGCGGTGAGCCGAGATTGCGCCATTGCACTCCAGCCTGGGTAACAAGAGCGAAACTCTGTCTCAAAAAAAAAAAATTCCCCTTTTAATTTTTTAAATAATATTTGTAACCATTCATTTATTGTTAAATTTCAGTTATTTCAGAATTTTTGCTACTATAAATAGCTTTGATGAATATCCTTTTACTTATATCTGTGACTGTGTATCTGATGATGTCTTTGGGATAGATTTTTAAAGTGAGATTGCTGAATTAGGGATATAAATATTTCTTTCTTTCCTTCTTTCTTTTTTTTTTTTTTGAGATGGACTATCACTCTGTAGCCAGGCTGGAATACAGTGGCATGATCTCGCCTCACTGCAACCTTCGACTCCCTGGTTCAAGCAATTCTCTGCCTCAGCCTCCTGAGTAGCTGGGATTACAGGCATGTGCCACCACACCAAGCTAATTTTTGTTGTTGTTGTATTTTTATTAGAGGACAGGGTTTCACTATGTTGGCCAGGATGTCTCGATCTCCTGACCTCAGGTATCTGCCTGTCTCGGCCTCCAAAAGTGCTGGGATTACAGGCATGAGCCACTGCGCCTGGTGATACAATCATTTCAAAGGCTGTTGATTTAACTGGAAAAATTGCTCCGCTTGAAATACTGTGTTCATAGTCCTTCCAGTGAGGTATGAGAAGATCCATCTGAAAAAAACTCATGACAGCTGCTTATTATTTAAATCTTTGTCACTTTGATAGGTGAAGAGTGGTTTTATTGGCCCTTCTATCTCTCTGACACAAACACACAAACACACAGACACACACACACACACACACACACACATGCACTCTCGATCTCTTTTTTTTTTTTCTTTTTTTTTTAAGACGAGGTTTCACCATTTTGGTCGGGCTGGTCTTGAACTCCTGACCTCAGGTGATCCGCCCGCCTTGGCCTCCAAAGTGCTTGGATTACAAGCGTGAGCCACCACACCTGGGCTTGATCTCTTTTTGTGAGATAGAGTCTTGCTCTGTTGGCCAAGCTGGAGTGCAGTGGCGAGATCTCGGCTCACTGCAAACTCCACCTCCTGGGTTTAAGTGATTCTCATGTCTCAGCCTCCTGAATAGCTGGAATTAAAGGTATGCACCACTGCACCCGGCTAATTTTTTTTTTTTTTTTTTTTTTTGAGACAGAGTTTCGCTCTTGTTACCCAGGCTGGAGTGCAATGGCGCGATCTCGGCTCACCGCAACCTCCGCCTCCTGGGTTCAGGCAATTCTCCCGCCTCAGCCTCCTGAGTAGCTGGGATTACAGGCACGCACCACCATGCCCAGCTAATTTTTTGTATTTTTAGTAGAGACGGGGGTTCACCATGTGGACCAGGATGGTCTCGATCTCTTGACCTCGTGATCTGCCCGCCTCGGCCTCCCAAAGTGCTGGGATTACAGGCGTGAGCCACCGCGCCTGGCTGGCTAATTTTTTATATTTTTAGTGGAGACAGGGTTTCTTCATGTTGCCCAGGCTGGTCATGAACTCCTGGCCTGAAAAGGTCTGCCCACCTGGGCCTGGATCAGAGGCGTGGGCCACCCGTGCCTGGCCAGGGCCATTCTCTTTGCCAGTTTCCTGCTCATATCCTTTGCCCATTTTTTCTGTTGGGATGATTTTTTAAAATTTGGATTTCCAAGAGTTTAAGGGTGTTAATTTCTTGCTTTATTTATTACATATATAGCAAATTCTAAGCATCAGAGTGCCGCGGGCCTCAGTGCCTGGGTTTCTTATTTTCTCTGTCCACAGCCACTCCTTTAGGGGTCTCACCCAGTCTTATGACTTGAAGTATTGTTTATTTGCTGATGACACCACCAGAACGTAAGCTCCATTTAAACCCTGTGGATGCAGCACGTTTTGTCTATTTCGCACACTGCTATATCCCTAGAATCTAGAACAGTGTCTGGCACATAGTGAGCATTCAATAAATACTTATTGAGTGAAATGATATTATTGTTATTTTTATTCCCATTTTACAGATGAGGAAACAGGTTTAGAGACAGTAAATAAAGTACCAGAATTTATGTAGTGAGGAAATGGCAGTGGGATTCAAATCTATATTCTTAACCTCTACATGTACTGCCTTCCTTAAAATTGATGTAATTGTTAGTGTTTTTCTGTATGTTTTGTTGAAGCCTGCTTCTCTGTAACTTTCACCACAATATACAGGTATGCATAATTGGGAATGAGTATAGTATACATGAGTGTTTGTTTGAAGTAAAACAGAGTACGGGGTAAACTCTCTGGGAAGGTTGATGATAAGGAGGAGCAGATTGCAACTAGATTATGGGAAACCTTAAGTATCCTGAAGAATTTTAACTCCATCACAATCTTAAATAGCAGAGACTCCCTGTAGATTCCTAAGCTGGGTGGAGTATGGATGGTTTATTTCCCAACCTGGATTAAGTAAAATTTTGTCTTCTCTCCTTGCATTCTTAGAGGATCACTCATTTACTGTGTAGAAATGGTATTGGATTTGTCTGACCTCAAAGCTCATGGCCATTTATTGACTCTTCATTGCTCCGGTCTCCACTGCCAACACTGTATCTGTCAAGTGGGAAGATACTTAACCAGCTGATGAGAATGTTCTCTCTCTTAAAAGGGGCTGAAGACATGGTGACAAATTCTTTTTTTTTTTTTTTTTGAGACCAAGTCTTGCTTGGTCACCCAGGCTATAGTACAGTAGCATGATCTCAGCTTACTGCAACCTCTGCCTCTTGGGTTCAAGCAGTTCTCCTGCCTGAGCCTCCTGAGAACCTGGGATTACAAGTGCACTCCACCACACCCAGCTAATTTTTTGTATTTTTAGTAGAGACAGGGTTTCACCATGGTGGTCAGGCTGGTCTCGAATTCCTGACCTCATGATCTGCCCACCTTGGCCTCCCAAAGTGCTGG